AAGTATTAAAATTCATGGCCAGCCAAAAAATTTTAGGAGCATAAGTTGATGTTAAAACATCGCTACCCACATCGATGTATCGTCAATTTAGCGATTTTAGGAAATTATAAACATCGATGGCAAACATCGAATTTTGAACCGATATTATCGATGTTTGAAAAATATCGATGCATCGTTTGCATCCCTACGTTCAAGTTGCCTAAAGGATGCCGCATGTATGTAGTTTTCTGAGCAACTCGATGAGCAATATGCTTAATTGCATATCAATTTTGGCCATATACATATGTAATACTTCTATATTGCTAGTACAATATGATCGCAATGAGTTTACAATTCGAAATCAAAGAAAGACAGCCTATGCGAATTTTGTGATTGTAGAAGTATATGTGACCCCACAGGGAAAATAGGTAAGCACCTTACGAGGTTTGCAATGTTTTCTTTCAGTTTTTAGTAACAAAATTGTCATCATGACCAATGTCATCACAGTTGCAAAATAACGTGCCGCCGAAGTTATTTCCAAGCCCCGAACTACTCCGAGGGACTGGTCTACGTTCAACGCAACTTACTTTTTAAAGCGGCTCAGAAGTATGTCTGATACGAAATGTACATTATAAATTCCTACTTACATAAGGCGGTCACGTCTTTGTTAACGTAAGGGAGCTTCGTCGGAGGGGTAGTAAGGACCACCGGATAAGTTTAAGTTGCTGATAAGATCGTCAAAAAATTTAGAAGCATAATAGGTGAGTCGAATCCAAAGCAAGTCTGATTCACACTAAAGTCGATGTTTAAAACATCGTTGAAACTTACGTCGATGTGTCGTCAAATTAACGAATTCAAGAAATTGTAAACATCGATGGCAAACATCGAAATTTTAACCGATAATAACGATATTTCAAAAATAAAGATGCAACGTTTACATCCCTAGGTACGAATCTAGAAACGGAAGTACCAAAATGATGTAGTGTAATCAGTGCCGATATCTAAGTCAGCATTGATCCCGTTATGCCGTCTTCTTTTAAATACACTGAAGATCGCTACGTGCCCATTTACGGTCTGTTTCTAGAATTTGGATTCCCTTAATCTGCACCCTTTCGACAATTATTTCTGCTTTTATCCAGTGCTTCCCATGAGACTATCATCAGTTGGATGACTGTCATGTGCATACAGTCAATGAGGTGCAGTGACAGTTTCCAGTTTTCCCCAAATGCCCTCTTGCAGGTATAGTAGGCTACGAAACTTTCTTTACTCTTTCCAAGTTCAGTTATATTATAGAAAAGTGAGTTTAGGGCTACCGGACTACCAGTAATTTGTATGTGCCTAGTACTTGAGCTGCTCGCCTTATGGCATCGACGGAATCGGAAAGAGGCTAAAGAGTACTTAAGTTGGTCAAAGGGACCGTTTCGGAACCGGCGCACATCTTTAGTATTCAATAGTTCGGTACTAAATTGGCAAAAATGCGGACTTATTCGATTATTGAAAGTCCTCAGGGCTTGCAGCGTCCTACGGAGTCTTTCACAGTATTGGACGCAACACAAGCATACCCAGTGGGAAAATGTAATGTATGGTAATCGAAAAAATGACCAGTAAAATAACCCTTTTTACATTCGAAAATGCATTTTTTCCCCCCAGGGCGATGTCCTAAGAAAAGTGGGGCACTTAATTTTGCAATACCTACACTCAAAAAAAAAAAACTTCTCTTAATTGAAGGAAAACAGCAATCAAAATAAAGAAAAATGGGAACGAAATAGCACTAAAGAAGTTTTATCCTCTTTTCATGCCCAACATTTCTTCAAAATGATAGATTACATCCACGGTGCCATATTTTCGTGTACGTTTTTATACATTCCAAAGAAAAATTTCTCATTCGGGAGAATTTTTTACTCATTCGGAAGAATTTTCGACCTTAAAGTAAGAAAAGTTTTTCTTTGATCCAGAGATGGATTTTTGGTCCAGTGTATTTAGTATCGAGAAATGAATGTGTTTTAATATGAAATTTTCGGAACTTTTTGAATACATTAGAACGCTGATTACATAGTTAGCAGCAATATTATCGAGAACGCATAAGGAATACATTATAATATTTATCACGCATGTAATGCATTACTACTTTTCCGACTGGGTATTTATCTGTGTTACATTAACAAAAGCTATAGGAAACAGATTGCATATGAACTTCAGCAGGCCAAAAATAACTGTGTAAAACTCTCTTCAGCGAATAATTTAGTGCAATTCGTTTGTCGTTAACGAAAGGCAAGTGAGAANCAGCAAAAGCTATAGGAAACAGATTGCATATGAACTTCAGCAGGCCAAAAATAACTGTGTAAAACTCTCTTCTGCGAATAATTTAGTGCAATTCGTTTGTCGTTAACGAAAGGCAAGTGAGAAATTGATTTATTATGAACAAATGACGGAACATGGCCGACAACAAACCGGATGGGGCGTTTATTTTTGATTTTCTTACCGCAGATTCGTCGGTGTCAGCCAAGCCAAGCAATGCATTGACCTGTAAGCCCAACAACTTGACCAGCACATCGCTGTGCAGACATTCAGTGCGCTTAAGTGAACATTGTTGCAATTTTTTCGTGTTGCGCATTTCCGATATGTAGAAAGAGTATTCGAGAAAATAGATTATACGCGCAACCAAATAAGAAATAACAAAGTAACACAAAATCACTGACACTTTCATCCACTCCAGTGCACTGGTCAGCAACACCAGTTGGCAGTGGTCATGAATTTCTAATAAGCAAACATGTATTGCATGCAACCAAACGTATAAAATGATGAGCTCATGTGTTATGTTGTTGAAGCAAAAGAAATGCAACAGCCATTGCAATTGCAGCATACTCAGAGCTGATGATGCCTGGTCACCCCCAAGCGTTCATGACCGATGGACCGACCGAACGACCGCCACTGTTGTGGAGTACGGCAAGCCACATATGTTTGTACATGCATATGTACCGACATATGTATTAACTGCACAGCAATGGGCAGCCTCTTCGGTCACTTGCCTTGCTGCCGCAACTTTATAAATACGATTGCTAGGCGCGCATGCGTAGCGTGTTTGCAACTGGTCATAACCGCGTGCAGCTGCAAATCGATTTCATGCAAGCAGCAATTTTTTGTTGGTAGCAGTAACAAAAAAAACCAGAGGCAACCCCACATACAGCCAGCCACCAGCCACCAGCCATCAGCAATAGCGCGACAGCTCCTTGCATAGCGACTGTACGAGTTAGTTGCGAATGAATACTCATTTCAATTCCATTCACACATTTCACTACGGATGTGCTGCTGCGAACGAAGCTGAAAGTGGTTTTTCCTGAAAAGTAAAAGCGAGCAAACGCTTGTAACTCCAGCCCCGACCGTTGGCATCCTCCCAATGCCACTTTCGACTAATTCACTTGCTGGAATTCAATTGTAATTGAATGTTGAGTGTGCGCGAGTGGACAATTATTGGTTTTGCAATTTCGCGCGCAAAAACTGGCAAAAATCAAAAAATAAATTGTGTGCTTAAAGACTAACATTACTTAACGTTGCACACTTACATACATATGTAGGCATGTAAGTACATTTCNCGTAGCGTGTTTGCAACTGGTCATAACCGCGTGCAGCTGCAAATCGATTTCATGCAAGCAGCAATTTTTTGTTGGTAGCAGTAACAAAAAAAAAACAGAGGCAACCACATACAGCCAGCCACCAGCCACCAGCCACCAGCCATCAGCAATAGCGCGACAGCTCCTTGCATAGCGACTGTACAAGTTAGTTGCGAATGAATACTCATTTCAATTCCATTAACACATTTCACTACGGATGTGCTGCTGCGAACGAAGCTGAAAGTGGTTTTTCCTGAAAAGTAAAAGCGAGCAAACGCTTGTAACTCCAGCCCCGGCCGTTGGCATCCTCCCAATGCCACTTTGGACTAATTCACTTGCTGGAATTCAATTGTAATTGAATGTTGAGTGTGCGCGAGTGGACAATTATTGGTTTTGCAATTTCGCGCGCAAAAACTGGCAAAAATCAAAAAATAAATTGTGTGCTTAAAGACTAACATTACTTAACGTTGCACACTTACATACATATGTAGGCATGTAAGTACATTTCGGTGGATACTTGTGCAAATCTACGTAACATAGTCAGTTGAGATTTGAGGTTGAATGCGTCAGGACGAACGCAAAAAATTGCGCAACTTTTTACGGAAACAGGAAATGTATTGTTAAAAGTGTGAGATAAAAACAGCTATTAAAAAAAAAAAAATTATTTACATTAATGGCAAAGAAAAACTAGTGAAGTGCTGTAAAACAAGTCCATTGGAAGGTGTAAACTAAACAAACACGGGAAAATTATTTTGTAAAAGCATATTGCGAAAAACATTTCTAAAGTTATTCGCTAAACTTATTGTGGTACTTCCCATGTAACTGGCATTTGGGGATTGTTTTCCAATGTTCCATAAACTGACATCCCTGTGAGTTTTTTTTTTTTTTTGTCGGAACCAGGCACGAAAACAACGGCTGTGGTCACTGACTATATTATTTTACATAAAATAAAGGAAATTGTTTCTTTCAAAATTATTTCGCTTTACGTTCATTCAAGTACATACCTTACATGTGGCTGTTTCCACGAAAATGTAAACCGGAACCGGAAAACCAACAACGAATTACTTTATCGGAACTATTTCTTCGCGTTTATTTGCCAAAAGTTCTTCAACGGCTCGGCTAAATATAGCCTTTCGCCATAAGCTACTGTACCATATGAACACAGATTTAATTCGATAGAAAATTAATGTGATAAAGTAGACTACACTTTTGGAAATAAATTTGTAATCGAAAATGGAAAAAACAACAAAGACTAATTAGTCTTAAGCTCAATCAGCCACCGACGGAGCGCCCTTCCGTACCTGCCGTCCGTATTAACATGTGAATAGAAAGAGAGAGAAACAACGACAACATCGCCGTCATGCGGTGATGAGTTTTCGTTTACACGATAATCCCATAAAATAGGTCCTGTCAGCTGACACGGACTACGGTTTTACGTCGGTGGCTGGTAGAGCTATTATTTATTCGTTTAATTTGTTGTTGTAATTTTTGTTTTTATTCTGTCAACACCAACTTTGTATAAATTCGCCTTGTACGGCGACAACGAATTCACGTGCTTACGTCAAAGGCTATCGTCGCGAAAAGTCGTCGGGCGAACGACGTCGTTTGCTTTGGTTGTGCGCGTTCTCATTTACGTCTATGGCCCGTAGTCATAGTCAAAATAAAGTCGACTTTAAAGTTAGTTGCAGCTTTTTNCGGTTTTACGTCGGTGGCTGGTAGAGCTATTATTTATTCGTTTAATTTGTTGTTGTAATTTTTGTTTTTATTCTGTCAACACCAACCTTGTATAAATTCGCCTTGTACGGCAACAACGAATTCACGTGCTTACGTCAAAGGCTATCGTCGGGCGAACGTCCTCGTTTGCTTTGGTTGTGCGCGTTCTCATTTACGTCAATGTGTTTTAATTTTAATAGCGAACATTCGCGGCGAAAAATTCGCCTTTCGTCGGCACAGTCTTCTTTTCTTAAGCGGGCCGAACTGTTGCCAATCACAAACCAAAGCGGGGCCTCATCTGATGACGCAAATCTGCTTACTCTTTGTTTGATGTCAGAATATACTTATTGTCCTCGTTCACCTGCTGACGCTTTCATATCCAATTTGGTAAAGCCAGGTCAAACGGTGCGCCTTTTGAACCCGACGGTTTACAATGTTATTGCAGATAGTAACTGAACGATGGAGTTATGCGGCTCGAATCATCCTCTCTAACATCGGATTAAAAAAGGAGCGAACCCATCAAGATAAAAGTATCAAACCAAAAGTTATACTTCGCTTGTTCTGCAGGCTGTTTTATTTGTGGTATTAATTCTGGATTCCAAATATACAAAGTCGCCATTTATCGTAAACATTTTGCGAGAGACAGGTGGGAATTTGCTCAAAGNTTTTAATAGCGAACATTCGCGGCGAAAAATTCGCCTTTCGTCGGCACAGTCTTCTTTTCTTAAGCGGGGCAAACTGTTGCCAATTACAAACCAAAGCGGGGCCTCATCTGATGACGCAAATCTGCTTACTCTTTGTTTGATGTCAGAATATACTTATTGTCCTCGTTCACCTGCTGACGCTTTCATATCCAATTTGGTAAAGCCAGGTCAAACGGTGCGCCTTTTGAACCCGACGGTTTACAATGTTATTGCAGATAGTAACTGAACGATGGAGTTATGCGGCTCGAATCATCCTCTCTAACATCGGATTAAAAAAGGAGCGAACCCATCAAGATAAAAGTATCAAACCAAAAGTTATACTTCGCTTGTTCTGCAGGCTGTTTTATTTGTGGTATTAATTCTGGATTCCAAATATACAAAGTCGCCATTTATCGTAAACATTTTGCGAGAGACAGGTGGGAATTTGCTCAAAGCAACTTAGGAATGTCTGCTTAGAGGTAGAGTTCTGGGACATACATGGGAAGAGCATTCAACAAGGTTCATCTAGAAAAATGCAGGCTTTTTTTGTAAAAGGTATTCCAAACGTGTTTCGTACAGGTACTGTAAACGCACAAAGAATCCGAGGTATTGATAACCACGAGTCTTTTCGCTTAATTATATTTTTTAACGCCCAATAGGATAGCTCCAAGTTAACGAGTACGCGGACAATGTTGTGATCATAAGCATNGAAAATGCAGGCTTTTTTTGTAAAAGGTATTCCAAACGTGTTTCGTACAGGGACAAAGAATCCGAGGTATTGATAACCACGAGTCTTTTCGCTTAATTATATTTTTTAACGCCCAATAGGGATAGCTCCAAGTTAACGAGTACGCGGACAATGTTGTGATCATAAGCATCCAGGTTCTGCATATGTAAATGCGATAATCACACAACCACTTTAATTCATAATATGGATGATTCCTATATTCAGCCTACATTCCTTAAACGGGCATACTCCTTTCTCCTTCCCCCAGCGCTAAGTATTCGGGAGTTAGTAGTAGGATGTACGTCCTGATATTATGTTCATTTGCCCAATTATTGCATATTTGATAGTTCAGAGGGAAGACGAACTACTTTATACATAGGTCCTTATACGCTAGTTAAAGAGGATCTCGTGGTAATTGGTGCAAACAGGGGGATCACTCTTATGGATAGGGAAAATTGAAAGTACACTTAAAAGATGGTTCCCTGGATTCCGTGAGCCTTTAGGCAACAATATTTCAAGTCTTACCTCGCCTTGGTCGAGGAGAGAGGACTTAACTATCGTACCTTTCTATTTACCTGGATTCTTTTTAAAACTCCGAACCTTTTAGAAGTGATCTANACATACTCCTTTCTCCTTCCCCCAGCGCTAAGAATTCGGGAGTTAGTAGTAGGATGTAAGTCCTGATATTATGTTCATTCGCCCAATTATTGCATATTTGATAGTTCAGAGGGAAGACGAACTACTTTATACATAGGTCCTTATACGCAAGTTAAAGAGGATCTCGTGGTAATTGGTGCAAACAGGGGGATCACTCTTATGGATAGGGAAAATTCAAGGTACACTTAAAAGCTGGTTCCCTGGATTCCGTGAGCCTTTAGGCAACAATATTTCAAGTCTTACCTCGCCTTGGTCGAGGAGAGAGGACTTAACTATCGTACCTTTCTATTTACCTGGATTCTTTTTAAAACTCCGAACCTTTTAGAAGTGATCTATCCGCCCATATCCAAAGTTTATTCTGAATGTCTGTTAACTCTTGTCCATCTTAGTGTCTGTGGGAACCAGCTCCGGTTTTTAAGCGAACCTTTAAGATTTTATACATACATATGTATGTATATTTAGGCAGTGTTGTTATAAGTTTTTCTTTCCCCGAAATAGTTGCACCTTTTCACTTATTTGTAAACTCTGCATTTATGTCTATCAAAATTTTGTTTTTGATGTAGAAATGCATCTATATGCTTCAGGAAAGTTTTTGCATCAAAAAGAAGATTTTGAAAAAATTTCGCTTACTACGTCTTTTTGGCGGTTAGGGCTGGATATTTAACCGTAAATAATTTGTTTATATTTTCAGATTTAACACGAACTATTGNTGTAGAAATGCATCTATATGCTTCAGGAAAGTTTTTGCATCAAAAAGAAGATTTTGAAAAAATTTCGCTTACTACGTCTTTTTGGCGGTTAGGGCTGGATATTTAACCGTAAATAATTTGTTTATATTTTCAGATTTAACACGAACTATTGAACACTGCCTTCAATACTCCAAAAAATGTCCCCATTACAGCATTATATTGTGGCACTGTTAGTACTTGGTGAGTAATTTATCTAATCGTTGTACAATAGATTCGTAATATGAAAATCATTCGCAATTCGCAGTTCCCTCGATCATCCCAGCCGATACATTTTTCGCTGTGGCAGGCCGAAAAGTGAAGCGAACGGGGACTTACTTGAATGTACCACCGCCGCCACAACCGCAACCACAGCCTTCGCCCAGCGCAGCTGCGGCACACCACGTGGAACAGGAACCCTATCCTTATGAAGATGTCAACGAACATGACTTTCACTCTCAACCAGACATAGCGCGCTACGAAACTGATTTTACGCCCACACAAACGCAAACCCACGCACATACCCATTCGCATGCTCTTGCTACCGCTTCCGGGGGCAAATACCTCGTCGACAATGGATTGCGTAGCATTGCCAAAGGTTCGGCAGACCAAGCGAATTCTGCAGTCGCCAGCCAAAATGCTGCAGGCAAGCAAGCTGCTTACGTGGCAAAAAGTACGCTTGCGCAAGCAGCGGCTCAAGCCGCTGGCACCGCAGTGGCCGTACTGAAAGGCAAGGAGGTGCTTCTGCGGCGGCTCGAAGAGCAAAACATAGATGAACACAAGTCATTGGAAGGTGAAATAACGCAGCTGCAGCAGGCGAAACGCTCCGCCAAGACGGCACAATATGCCGCACAACAGTCCATAAATCATGTATCTGTGCTGACAGCGGCCCTCAACAATGCACAATCCGCCTCGGAGTTGACACAGAGAGCAGCATCAGAGGCGGCCGCAGAGTTGGCTTCACAAATCGATATGGTTTCGCAAGCCAAGGCGAAGCTGGAGCAATTAGAGTCGCAGCTCTACACAGCTCGTTTGGATTATGAGGAGACGAAGGAGGCGGCAGAAAAGGCAACACTGTCGGCACAGGAGGCGCAGATCAACGCCAACGATGCTGCAGTACATGCGAATGTGGGGCTGAGTGAGGCGGTGCATGCGGGAGCGCATGACAAGAGCGATCACGTTGCGGCGACGGTAATCGGCTCAAATACCGCCACTGACCAAACGCAAAGCTACGGGCGTAAAAAGAAGTGATTAAATTGAGTGATAATGGAGTTGTTTTTGAGAGATGCTAAGTTTTTGCTTTAAGGTTTTTCTACTCTATTTATTAATCCTGAGAATATCATTAAAAACTGCTGATGAATAAAATTTGTTTTAAACATTTTTTTAAGAAGTCTTTACTCTCTCTTTTACTATTTTTGCCGACGAGAGGGAGAGGCTCGACACTAATGCGATTTTGAGAAAGTATAGGTATGATTATTTGGAATGACCCAATCACTGACTGTTCACAGAAGTCATGCAGGGAGGGTTGTCCACCAAAGCAACCCTTCTTTGCTCGATTGAGGAGTAAGTTCTTTTTTTTGTGTAAACATCTTAGCTCTCGGTATGGGTAAAGTTTGCCTAGACCCAGCAGAAAATTTGTAATTACTTCTTGTGTGTGCAAATACACATTTTTGTGGTATAGTTCAGCGATATTTCGGGCCTAGTTCACTACTAGTCGGGACCTGTTCAGCACTATTTTAGGCTCATTTGGGAGCCATTTCGGTACGAGATCTGGACCATTTGAGACTGATTTAGGACTATTTAAGTATTATTTCGGGTACATTTCCAGACTAATTTAGGACCATTTGCATTTTACGTATATGCACCATTAACGTGAAATTCTCAGCGTACAAATAATCGTTCGTATCTATACAAAAGTGTGTTGCGTGTATATGTACGTGCATTAGGGTGGTCATTAAATGTAGGAAGCAAATTTTCACATCATATTTCCCAAGCCTCAACCCGTACTTGATGCTACTATAGTCGAAGATATCACATATAAATTTTGGTCCCGATTGGAGACGGTTAAGGCGTGTCGCACAGGGGGCAAAGTGCAGAATTAATTTTTAATTTTTTGAGTTTCCATAGTCATCTGACCTTTGACCCCTCTACTATACGCCTTAACCGACTCCAATCGGGACCAAAATGTATATGTGATATCTGTGACCGTGGTATTACCGATTGAGGGGGTGAGAGTCAAATACAAGGTGTTTGTATCAAAAGTAACGAGTACATTAACGATACGAAAGTAACGGGTGTTGATTGGATTAGGAACGAATACATACGGCTATCCAAATTTTCGCTCTACTTATCAGGAAACATATCGCGATTATTTTTGGATCATGTTGCTAGTAGGACCGTTTCAATACTGGTTTGATATTCTTTCGGAACAAGTTACGACTTTTAAGGACAATTTTGCGGCTATTTCGAAATAGTTCGAAACTTGTTACAAAATGATCCTTAAATAGTTCGAAACCATTCACGAAGTGGTTATTAAAAAAAGTCACGTGCTACCCGAATAAAAAGAAATGAAATTAATGTTTAACTTCTAAACTAACCTATATACCTATGTATATATGTAAGCGGTACACAGATGTTTACACTATAAGACTTCATTAGTACCTGGTACTCACGTCTTTTTTGAGTATTTTGTAGGTCCAGACAAATAACACAGGCCTGGCGAAATTCAACTTTCTCCCCATCCAACAGTAAGTAATTTTTTTAACAATTTCTATGAAAAGCCAAAAATAATTAACAGATTATATTCAACAATTTTTATAGAGCTTGAGGCCGTTTTTAATGAAAAACTTATTGTGGGAAAGCAACAATAATTTGAAAAAATGGTAGAAGTGATCGCTATTTCGGAAATCACCAAATTTCCTCATCAGACTTCTTTCAGTAGGATTCGAACCGACGATCCCACTGACGCAGCCAGTTGCCTACGCACTGCGCTAAGTTCGCCTTGATGAATTCTTGTTGTTTTTTTTCCACTATGTATGTATTTCATTTGTTAAGCCAACTACAATCAAGCGCAGCTGTGCTATTTAAACTTGATCATGTAGTTGTTGGTTATTAACAGATAGCTAAAATTTTTATTAAAGAAAAACAGTTCTGTTAAAATAAACCCAATGATTAAGTAAATCCAAAAGACTTATGGAAATTTGAAGTTAACGCTAATAATAGACGGTAACATTAAGAAAAACTAATAAAAATAGTAATTTCCTCGGAAAAGTGATGGAATCTCTTTTCTTTTTTTCGTAGTACCTAATAACTACCCTAACCTACCTACTTATTTCTGAATAGTCTATTAAGGGCCGTTTTCTCATCTAACCTTTAGTTTACCGGCCACTTTATCGTCCCGATATACGAGTTTTCGTTTTCTCATCAGCGCATTAAATTCTCGAATCGATAAACTGTTGCTCACCCGATGCAACCTTTAAAATTTGTACCCAACTTTAAATTTTGGTTTGGTTTTGGTTCATGAGCCAGCTATATTAGATATTTCAACCAAAGGTTTTGGTTTTTGCTAACAGTTGCTCTTGCTCTATATTTGCTTATGTTGCATTGCCAACCTTTGAAATTATATGACGAATGTAGTGAAGTTTCACTCTCGGAACTGTAGTGAAGTTTCACTCTACGAAATAACAAATTTATTTTTACCGGTAAGATAAGAAAATTAAAACACTTTAAAGTGAGGAGCAATTTATCTGCCCTGTTAGTAAAGGCAACTTTACTGCTTACATTAGAAAATGGCCCTAAGTGGGAAACCATCGTATGCCTGTGTAGCTTCTTTGCGGTACAACTAAACTTAACAAAAGATGTAATCTCTAGCTTTTAAATAAAACACTTAGGGCCGTTTTCTAATGTAAGCTGTAAAGTTGCCTTTACTAACAGGGCAGATAAATTGTTCCTCACTTTAAAGTGTTTT